TATAGATATAGATATAGATATAGATATATAGTATAAAACTGTGTTTTATATTAAATGGGCCTCGTGCCATGTATAAACATACCTCTTTATTGTGCATTCAATACTAAGCTATTCAAATAATACACAGGTTCATATATTCATGCTTTTATTTTAAACATGTGCAAGGTACAGTGAGTAGGGTGGCCGTGCCACTGCCATTTATAAACATACCTTGTCAGCTGATACCAATGCCAATATCAACGTTGTCTGTCAATTGCATGATAATCCTTCATACAAGCTATTGAAATTGACGTTTTAATTTTATACATGAATGTGGAAACGAAAATGAGTGATGGCCTATTAGTGCCACGTCCATGCATAAACATACCTGTTATCTTGCATACAATAATGAACAGATTCATATTTCGGAAAAAAAAACAAAAAACTTTTTTTTTTTTTTTAAATTGTCTAATTAACCCAAAATTTCGCGGACCCCCTGCAGTACCTCCGTGGACCCCCTCGGGGTCACGGACCCCCTGTTGAAGACCTCTGGTCTAAAGATGTGTGTTTGGTCTCATAGTGGCATCTCACATTGGCGCATTTAATAATGGCCACGATATCTGAACATATGAGACGGAGTGGTTTTGTAGCGCCAGCAGGAAGAATGAACAAATAACAGTCCGTCCATTCTTTGTTAATAGCTCCACTTTTCTCTTTTTAGAGCACGCCATGTGAAATTGCTTCTCCGACTCAATTACTTTTCCCGCTGCTCTCTCTCTGTCCCCGTCTCTCCCTTGTCTGTGTGTAAATTTCACTCGACTCACGATGCACTTTGTAATACATATAGGGTACATCCCAAGTCTCTTATTTGTCATTTCCTCGCTCCTCGCTTGAACCGGAAGTTGTTCTGCGCTGCCATTTTGACGGCCGTCCCGAAGCTCGTATTGCTGCTCGGAGGAGCGAGGACGCACGAGAACAGCCTTCCAGGAAGTGTTGTAACGGCTGACACGCCCCCTCTTTGTTCATCAGGTATGTGATTGGATGTTGCAGCTGATCGGACTGATGAGATTTTTCTAAATATCACTGGAGTTTAATACCACAGTGAAGACAGATCACAGATTAAACTCAAGCTTTATATTTGAATAGTTTTCTGATTTAAATATGTTCATTCTAGACTGAAGTACAAAAGGACCACAAACATCTTTCTTCATTTATTAGAAAGATTTGTCTTTCCATGATCTGATATTTCCCTCAATAAGTTTTATTATGGATACAATTAAAGTCAGAGAGAGCTGGAGAGACAAAACACTTTTTACATTTCATTCGGACACGTGAGGCATTCCTGAGTGTCGGGTTTGATGAGTTATATCATGTAAATTTAACCTGAAACATTAAGCCTAATAAATGAATGTCAGTATTCAAGAAAAACCATAATCATATTCTGGGCTAATTAACAATGACGTCACAATCAGAATATCAAAACGTACCGACGCAATTCATAAATATGACAAACTCATTCCGTAGGTAGAAATTGGTCCTGCCCTTATAAACAGGACTCAGTTTGTGAGGGAAACAGGGATGCAATTAAGAGACTTGGGATGTACCCATATTCGATTGGCTGAGTAGCGTCACGTGAGATGATTTACAATGCATGCAATTGGTCGGTGTGTTTCTGGTCTGACTGCTGAACGAGTGCCGTAAAGGCTAGAAAAGCTGTGCAGGTTAAAATAGAAGTGCTTCGCCAAAAATGTATAATTCTCAATTATCCATCAGTTATACGTCCGGGTCCGGACCGCAGTCCGCCTATTAGTGACCCCTGACCTATTGGATAGGATACAACATATGCAGCTTTACTCGACCATAGAGAACACAGGGTTCTGAGATTATTGTATACGGTTACTGGTACTATTAATCATTTTAGCATTTGAGTTTATTGTCGTTCCTCTATATTTCAAGTGGCTTGTTAATGCTGAATTAACTGCACTGATTTGTTTTGAATTCAAGTTGACCATATCATTTCCAGTAATGGTCACTTGTATGCAGACATAATAAGAGGCTGTCAGTGGGCCTCAATAAGTGGCTGCCCCTCTTTATTGTGTGGTTGTCAATGTACTCCACATTTTTCGTAGTGTGTGCTTTTTTTGTGTGTGCATCTGTTCATGTTGTTCTGGCATTGCTATTCTTCCACTGACCTGCCTGTCAAGCCGGGCTGTGTGAATAACGCAAGAGGAGGCGAGACGACGAGGAGGAGGAGGAGGAGGAGCTGGGTGTTTGATGAAAGCCCAGACTCCCTTTCTTTAAGTGACTGGCTATTGATCAGGATGGCGATCGTGCAAGCACTCTATTAAATCATATGCAGTCTGTCTCTTGGCTGTGGCATTATTGAGCTATTGACACTATTGTGAGTTGAACAACTCTTTGGCACAGGGATTATAGAGCCTGTACCCACAGTGGTTGATGTAAATTATATATATATTTATATATGTGTGTATGTATATACATGTACCGTATATGTATAGCCATTCAAATCAGAAGAATAGAATGCTAAAGAGGCAACCTAACATCAGCATTAACAAATATGATTTCTAACTAGTACTGTACATACGTACAAGTGCAATACAGTACATGCAATCAATAATCAGAACGTTTTTAGAACCAGTACCTGTATGACTCTGAACACATTCAGTTTTCCGAATTAAATTCCAGGTTTGTTGTTAAGTAACTCAGTATAAGTATATTAGTACAGGAAAGTTTCCTAATTATTCTTTTCATTTACATAAAGTCTGTCACATTCTGTAAAAGCAGGTGGTTTTAAGTGTGAATTTCGTTTAGAGTTGACCTGCAATTAGTGTGGTAGACGTCAACATCTTCCCACACAAGTACCCGTGACCTGTGTTCAGCTCGTCTGCTGTGCAGCCTGAATCGTTTCGCTGTTGGCATTGAGCTCACCTGCTGTTAACTGACTGGAAAAAGCTCACTCGGTAGCCGCCAGGTGATGCCGACGCTGTCCTACTACTGACCCTAACACATACTATTTTGACCGGGAAAGCCAGTACACCGGCCAATCAGCGTCCTGCGATGAGCTGCTGAAGTGGTTAGCTTAGATGCTGCAATATTATCAGTTGTATAAGAAGTGGAGTGTATTTCTTCATTGAGAGAAGACGAAGAACCGGCTTTTCTTGACGGTACCAATGTTTCTGCTCTTCTCCCAGCTGACTACGGCAAGAGTTTGATTGACAGATGGCTCATCCAAGCAGCTGCCAAGCATTTTTAAAAGTGCCTGCCCTTTTCCAAGCAGTTCCCAATGACGACTTCTCAGATGGTTCTGGGTAACACACCATCTGGCGGGTCAGGTTAGGAAAGAGTCCCAATTAGAAATAATAGACCTGCTGCAGCCTCTACTCCCGTCTTTACGTCTTTGTTCCATCACTCGATCTCTATGGATCTCCGGTGTCAACTGTTTTGTTTTTTTTGGTGTGTCTGGCTGGTAAGACCAGGCTGGCAATCCACCTTAGAAGCCTCATCTGACATAATGCAGTAGGATAAAAATGTCTTTGGTGTTTGACAGCTGCCTCTGCCTTTTGACAGGCTTTACACTGCTGTAATTAACCCCACTTAGCAATCTGTCTGGTTTTCTCTTTCTTTGTCTTTCTCCCCCCCCCCCCCCCCCCCCCCCCCTTTCTCTCTCCTCCCACAGCAAGCACTGAAGGAAAACCTGAGGCGGAGGGAGACGGAGGAAAAACAGAGGAGAGCACGGGCGGCAAAGGAGAAGGCTGAGCATGAAAAGCAGGAGAGACAGCAGAAGAAGAGGAGGTTGCTGGAAGTCAACGCAGGTAGAGAACCTGTTCAGTCCGTCTGTGTGCTCAATCTATCTGGGGGCAAATCAAATGGTGCGCGAAATCATTCCGAGACAATAACTCTCATTTACCGAGGATTTACCAGGAAACACAAGTCCCATTTTAATGGATTAGAGGAGACACCTATTTTCTCACAATTCAGTATTTATCTTGAGAAGAATGTAATCCGTCATCCAAACAGAAAGCATTTGCGCTTATTTTGATTAGTGGAATTTAAGTAATGCTGGAAGTAAATACAACATTTTAAATATGTGTCTCAGTCTCATGTCAGAATCACACTCCTGACTTTTATTAGTTTTGACCGATTAATGTCTCAAATGTAGTTTCCCAGTCATGAACAGCACAGATAGTTAAACCAGACATGCACTCCATTGTAACTCACTCTGGGTCGTGTTATTGTATTAACATATTAAGGCAGCGTTCACATTGTGTTGCTTTCCCTTGATTTGTGGAGACCCGTGGCAAGGTTCTTGATGTGTGGCCATTTCAACCTCTGAATTTAAAAGGTGATATTATTATTATTATTGATTGGTCATTGATCCAAGTATAGATGTTCCCCTCTTGCTTGACCCTTGACCCTTTCTGTCACAGGACAGAGCTGGCCAAGGACGGCAGTCATCAAGATGTTAGGGCTGCGATGTATTATCACAAGACACTTGACTAGAATAGATGATTGTTTAAATGGCCTTTAACCCGAGGTCAGCTGGTTGAAGGACAGCCTCTGTAACCACAATTCACCCGGTGAGTTACTCTTCTTGAGTGAGCAGAGCTTTATGACACAGTCCAATACTGGAGATGGTTGAATATCGCAAAAAAAATTGTTTTTCACAATTGCTGATCATACCCTCACATTAAGGTTTGACAGTGCACGTTGAAAAGCACAAATCTTGAACTAAACCACAAGCAAAATGTTTGGTGTTCAGCTGCTAGGTTGTCATAAAAACATGCAGCCAAATGCTGCGTGGAGAATCATTCGCCTGAAGAGAAACAATCTGCTGGCTTCTGCAAATAGTTAAGCTTAACAACTGTACCCTAATTATCCCTTCTCTTGTTTTCCCCTGATCCATTGAGTTTATAAATATGCTATTAGTAGTAGTCACACTTTGTGGAGAAGAGCAATAACATACCAAGTTACGACATTTTAAGAAGGTACTAGGAAATAAAAGGTCTCAGAAATGTTTCAAGCCAAGTTCTGACCAAAATTAGCTGTGTTTGAAAAATGTCCAATCAAACACATTCATTTCACCTTCCTGCTATATACTTTGTAATGTGCAACAACGTGTTTCTGCTGTTTACCCTGTAATTGTTGCAACAAAAGGTAAATTAATTGTCACCGTGATGACTTTACACAGTTGTAAAGTCCCGTCTGTCACTCAAACGTGACTTCCTGGTTACCATTTCATGTCTCACTGGTCTAGCAATGCAGCCCCATGCGTTGTTTTAACACACTTTCCATCCAACACAGCTCACTCTATTACTACATGTTAATGTTTATCACCTGTTCCTGAGAAGACTTGGCTTTATGATCAATATGTTTATTGCTGATAAGAGTATGTTGGGTTGTCAACAGACATCTGCCTTTGCTTTGAAAATTTGGTATTTTGTTATCAAAAATATGTAGTAAGTCTCCTTTTGATGTTTCCCTGCGCTGGGTAAATCATTTACTGATTACATCCTCTATTGATATCAACTTTGCCTATTTTTCAGCGAGGTGGTTTGTGCTTTTGCACTTTGTGTTCGCTACGCATGCTTGTATAATGTCAGTAGATATTTAGGGAGTATATGTAAAAAGTTATTTTCAAACCCTTCCCATTGCTGTGGCCCTCAGGTGTGATGTAGCTAGAGTGCTAACTTTATTTACTAAGCAGGTTCAGACATGGCAATAAAAAAAGTCAATGTTTACCTTATGCCAGAGCATCTGGTTCCAACTGCAGGTTGTTTTTCAGTTTGTTCCCCTTCCCCTTTGGAGCACCGCTGATGCCATAAACTTGTTCAACAGTGCAGCCTCCAGACCCATGTTCCAATGCCAAAGCCAAGCCTGGCAGAGCAGTTGAGCTTGGCAATCCCAGCCCTGCACCACCCATCTACAGCTAACATGACTATGCCAGCCACCATAGAACTCCTGGAGACGTTAGGGTGCAAGCAGAGAACCACCGCGCTCCATCCAGGCCAAAGTGTTGCTGTGGTCGTACTACCAAGCCAAAACCGATGCCTCTCTTGGCTGAAACAGAATACTAACCTCTCCATTTTCCATTCACTCTCGTCTGGACTTCCCTCAATTGTCACCGTTTGCCACAGAGTGCCTGAAGTTTTACGGTGCTGGGCTCCTCCAAATTGAAGGGTCATGTCCAGTTGAAATTTAATGAACAGGAATCTGGTGAAGGGGTTACGTACTGTTTGGTTAATCCAGTAGTTTGTGCTGTAGCTCACCCTCCGTCATGCTGTGGTTATCTGAAAATGCCAGAAACAGGGTTAAAGCCAGAAAAAAAATCGAAAATCTCCCGGTAGGCCAGTGTTGTGTGGGTTGTGTTTATATTAGGAAGGCTTGGTAATGTGAATGGTCTGTAGGCTTGAGACTTGGCTCTGTGTCTGCACTTATTGGCAGACACCATAGCCGGTGAAGGTGCTTCTACCTGTATCAATAATTCATGTTGAAACGTCACATTTGAAATATACGACAAAATATCCAAGCAATGTAGTCAGTTTGTCTTGTTCACTTTCAATCTGCTTTTTTGCATTTTAATATTTTTCTATAATATCCTGTGTGTGTGTGTGTGTGAGTGAGAGGGAGTGACGTGCATCGCCTTTCAATATACGCTTACCCCATGGTCTGCTGTTATTTATGCAGTATTTGCATGTAACATCAGCACGTAAGCCTTTCCCCAGCATGAAGCATGTTGGTGGCAGCCTCATGCTGTGGGGAGGCGTCTCAGCAGACGGCACCCGTGGAAGGTAGGCTTGTGAAGGTAGAGGGTGAAATGAGCGCAGCAGAATCTAGAGAAATCCTAAAGAAAACAAAACCTTACGGGAGGGGCCGAATCAGAATCCTGACAGCAATTAAATCAAGAATTTAGATACCATGAAACTAATCGGAGCCTTGGCAGTCTTGTAAGGAAGAATGGGGTATGATTGCAGAGTCCAGCTGACAATAGCCAAACCACGTACACACACACACACAGCAGTAATTGCTGCCTCTTAAGCGGATGAATATAAAGACTTTGGGTTTCATATTTGTACTTAATTTAAATTGGTTTGTTTTCAACTTGGCAGTAAAATCAGTTTATCTTTTTCCAGTTCGTCATTGTCAGAGAAACAAACATACGGTACATGTTTGTTTCAGTGTCCTAAACCTCTCGTGTGTTCAATTTTTCACTCGCTTAGATTGACAGCTTGGACTTGCTCGTGTGTCGAGTTGTGTTTCACCGCTAACTTTTTTTAATTCAGAAAAGAAGTTGGGGAAATAAGAAAATCATGAGAATAAACTTCAGCCCAATTTTGTCAGAAAGGCTTATACAAATATGCCTGGAGCTTGAAATGTATTTAGATACGCTCAAATTTAGATGAAGCTAAAGGCAAACTCAGTGACATCCTCAAGAAGTGATGTTTCTGGCAATGTACGACACTCACACACACACGCACGCACACACACACTCACACACGCAGATTGTTTGGATGAAATTAATATGTGATAGAGATTTGGTATTGTGCTGCCAACCCAGGACAGGATTTTCTCTCTCTCTCTCTCTCTCTCTCTCTCTCTCTCTCTCTCTGTGTCTCACTTCTCTCTCTGTCTCACTTCTGTCTGTCTCTCAGCCTATTTATTAACTGAAGAGCTTTCTCTTTGTTTGTCAGGAAGGATTGTCCTCAATGGAGATTTTCTGTGTAATCATCTGATTATCCATCAATTCCCTAAAAAGCCCCAGAGAGCCTGCACGTCCACATTATGCTGAAGGGCACAGCAATGAGAGACAGAAGGGGGGAGCGCTTCTCCTGGAGGAAATGATCAAAATGGATTTTAGCTTCTTTACTTGCTGCAGGTATCTGCATTTAGTTTGGTTTTCGGCTTTGCCTACTTATGTATTCCCGCAATGTGAGCTGCTCCCAGTTTGCTTCTCATTTGCCTCGGCCTCACTTACCTGCCACACAAACTGGGCACCTCCAGACACAATAATGTGCAGCCTGGCTTCGTCGCCTGCACTGTGTGTTCTGGCAGTTTGAGAGAGCGAGAGCATCAGCTTGCATACATTTGCATAGGGCCCTATGGAGATTGAAATTCAGATTGAATAGGTTTTTTTCTCCCCCCCTCCCCACACCTTCCTCCTCCTCTAGCTGTGCCTGGCTTGTGTATGACAAATCTGTTGCATTAACTCCCAGGGTAGGCCGGCAGCGGGAATGTTTGTGGAGCGACAAATTACATATCAGAGCTTTATTTAACATTCCCTACATGGCTACAAGCGATGAACTATTAAGACGTCAAATAGAAGAACAGCGAGAGATGCAACCCTGCATGCAAAGATGCTAAGAGCATAGACGGGGCATAACAAAGAGAGGGAGGTGGAAAAAGCAAAACATTTTTCGCGAAGCTTGTGTGAGATACCGTATGTTCTCATGAGATAGTTCTTGTACCATGACTTGGTATTATAGTGGCGCTCACTTAGTTGGTTTACATGTGATGCTGTTTCTATTCCTCATACCTTTTATCGTTATAATCGACTCACAGTTTGGTTGGGATTGTGCCGGTGTCTTTTTAACCCACTGCACAGCGGGCTGGTCCACTGTGTTGGTGTGAGCAACGAGGCTAAAGGTTCGCTACGTGTCGGACCGTTGCGCTCCGTGAGGTGTGACTGTGTGAACTTGGAGGAATCAAAAACATGTAACAACTCTGGTCTTTATGGTGTGAAAGGTATAAATAAAAGTCTGTTGAACCCAACTGTGTTGTAGCATGTTCCCGTAGTGCCACAGTGGTGCACAGGGTG